GTAATGGGGGAACCAGATGGAATAAATAAATGGTGCAAAAGATTTTTGCTGAGGCAGATAGCAGGGCAATTCTCCACTTAATACCCTCAACCCTTCTAAGGATGATCAGTGGCAGTGGCAAATGGAGAAAACAGGTATATTTTCTGTCAAGAGTACTTACTCTCATTTGGTGCAGAACAAGATTTGGAAGATGGACATTGCTCAGGGGAGCTCAACAGGCCACAGAGACATAATTATCAGAAACAAGAGTTGGCAACTGAAGGTTAAAGAGAAAGTGAAGCATTTTCTGTGGAAGTGTGTGAATGGCATTCTCCCAGTTAATATGAATTTGCTATCCAGAGGCATTGATGTAGATGTAGTATGCCCAATGTGTGGGGAGTGTTATGAGATGGTTGAGCACCTTTTGTTGCAATGCAGAAGAGCCAAACTTGTGTGGAAGTTATCCCCTATTGACTGGGAAAGAGCTGCAGTTGGAGCAGGGAATTTTAGACAATGGTGGTGGCACATATGCTCGACTGATAAGTTTGTTACCTCGGAAGCGTGCATTCAACTCACTACGTATATTTTGTGGTGGTTGTGGCGTTCCCGAAACCTGTGGCTGTTCCAAGGGCAGAAGCAACATGAGCACATTACAGCTAAAGGGGCTTGGCAGGAATGGCAGGAGTTTGTTGCTGTGTCTTAGTTGGCTTCTGTATTTTCTCTGTTTTTTAGTGTTGTAGCTTTATTTTCTTTGTTTTGTTTGGCTGCTGCTGTAGTGGTTTGGGTTGTTGTGCCTGTAGTTCTTTCTTTGTTTGGTTGGCAGGTTTGTGGTGTGTTTTGGTGATGTGGGTTTGCTTGTTCTTTTATAGTGTTTGGGGGATTGTATGATTGGGGTTCCAGGTGTATATGTCTGCTGCTAGTCGTAGTTGTGCTTGTTGTCTAGGCCACTGTATGGTGTGCCTCTCAGTGTGTCTTGCCCGTTGGGCCTGTGTTCGGGTTGTACCAGACTTTTTCCTCGGGTTTTTTCGAGTTTTTTATTTGAGTTATTTCTATCGTTGGGAAAAAAAAATCTTGTGGGCCACCACAAGGTAACAATCACATTGCACGTGGTTTTTATCCAATTTGCACATATTTTTTTAAATAATAAAATATTCAAAATGATTGAAAGAATTTGTTAAGAATTATACAATTATTTGTTTCCTAAATTTTTATCCAATTTGCAAGGTTTTTGAATTAATTTGTATTTAGATTTGTTTCCATAAATAATGGACAATATTTTTGGCATAAGAATCTCTAAATTTGTTGCCAAAAGAATAGGATTCAAATTTTGGTAAAAAAATAAAAAATGAAGAGGATTGTAATATATATTATTTTGAAGTTAAAAAAAATTAATTTTCAATTACGTCGGTATTATTTTTATATTACTGTTATAATTATAATAACGTATATTATAAATATTTTAATTTTTCTTTCCAATCTATTAGTTTATATGAGTTTAAACTCGTAAATAATGGTTAAAAGGCTCAAACATAATTTGTTTTTTCACAATACACCATTATTAAGTAAATTACCATCTTTGATCGTGAAAATTCAATTTCAAGACGTTCAAAAAAACGACCGACATTGTGAATCGCAATATGAATTTTTAAAAAACTGGTTATGTGCGATTATTGATAAAAAAATCAAAGGATATTTTAGAAATCCTTGAATAGATGATCTTTTGGTATATGGCTCGTTACCAAATGTGTAGTAAATCGGAGAGATTTATTATTAATGTTGATATTTCAATTCTATTGTAGTATTGTGGTAGTTATATCAATAATTATTTTATAGTTGATTTCTTATTTTATACTTATAATTTGTAATGTTCTCACGCATATTTTTGGTTTACATATGGATGGATGACCATCAAAATTAACAGGAAAACGCTTGATTTGTTATTAAGAATAAATATTAGTATATTACTAATGATAAATAGTTAAATTTCTTTTGATAGTGCAAAATTGCGTTTACAATTTTTGATAAACTAAAATGGCTAAGTTATTGATAAATCAAAGGTATCTAAACTATTCCTCTTGATTAAATATTTTTTTGAAGATAAGATAAAAAATATTTTGGTATATGGTTGATTATCAAATGAATAAGAAATCATTGTAATTTGTATTAATATTGATAAATGAGATTATATTGTAACATTGTTACAAATATCATAATAAAATTTTATAATTTATTTTTAATTATATTTGCAATTTTATAGTGAATATTCAAATATATTTTTAAAAGCCAAAACTTATTGAATAGAAACTTTTTAAAGACGTGTTGTTTGATTGGTTTCCAAAAGAATAAGAAATTATAGTGATTCGTAATTAATATGAATAATCGAATTTTTATTGCGATAATTATCACAAATAATTTTTAAAATTGATACCAGTTTATTTAAAGAAAGTCGTGCTATTAACCGAATTACACGATTTACAACATGTAAGTACAATTTAATTTTCATTCATATATAAATATTAAAATAGTTTTTACAATATTTCTTTTAGTAGTAAGTCGATCTATTTAATTATTAAGTCAGAATTATTTCAGATTATTCCGTCAAGCTCATGCAGAAAGAGAAAGATTTCAGATATGAAGAGTGTGTTTGTATATAAACTAACTCAATTCATACTTAAAATCTAACTCAACACCAACTCAATTCTACTATCCTAAGTATTAACAATATAATTAAATAATATCAATCAATCATTCTTACATATCATATCAACTTTATTTCACTATACATTCGCTCGCGTAGTTTTAACTAATCATCACTTCACATCATTTATCTCATATTGTTACATCAAGTCAAGTTTAATTATTTTATTTTAATATAAACTCATAATCCTACTAACAACTAGTCATACCACATTTTTTAAAATTAACTATGATTAACTAAAACATTCGATTGAGCGTGGATAGTTGTATCAAGCATGCCTAAAAAGCTTCGGGCGTCCTTGTTTACAAATAAATGTGCTCAAATGAGCTTTTTTGCTTAACCATGGTTAATTTTGAAAAAGTTTGATGATTAGTTGTTTCTGGAATTTTGATTTTATATTAAAATAATTTAAAATAAAATAATTAAAGTTAATTTGATGTAAGTATGAGAGAAATGATGTGATGTGATAGTTAGGGGGTGTATTCGATTGAGAATATAAGTGACATTTTAATAGACTTTTTAAGATTTTAGACTTTTTAGGATTTTCAGATTTAGGAAGAAGTATATGAAATCTTAAGTCTGGAGTTAGGATTTAAGGTGAAATTTCATATGTAAAGTTTTAAAAAGTCCATAAAAATCCTAATTAAATATACCCGGTTTTTTGTTTATAAAATCCCACCAAATCTTAAAAACACTTAATAAATCCTAGTATCAAATAAATTAAATACCTCATAATTTTGTAAGACTTTTGAAAATATCAATTGAATACCCCAAGATTTTTAAAAGTTATAAAAAGTCTTAACAAATCTAAATTGAATACATCAGGATTTCTAAAGTCTTAAAAAGTCCTTAAAAATCCTAATTCATAAATACACCACCTTAGTTAAAATTATGTGCATAGATGACTAGTGAATTAAAGTTGATATGATGGGTAAGAATGGTTGGTTTGTATTATTTAATTATATTGATAATATTGATGATAGTGGAATTAAGTTAAAGATTAGTTAGATTTGGAGGAGTGGCTCGCTTCAAACTTATTGAATTCTTTCAACCCTCCGATGGAAGCCGCCTGGGAGTGTTTGTTTGGCGTGACCTTAAATTATGGCAATGGCGTAATATTGCTATTTTTCAAAGTCGTGGAAAGGAAGCCGATGATAAAGTTCATGAGATCAAAAACTTCGTTAATGGAGTTCTCCATTTTGCGAAGAGCGACAAGAAACTTGGAGGCACCGGTGTTTCCCGAAGCCAGCGTCTTATCCATTGGGAGGCTCCACCGATGGATTGGGTGAAAGTGATTTCGGACGGGGCTTATCATAAATCCTCGGGTATGACTTCGACTGGAGGGTTGATTCGTGACACTCATGAAAATGGTTAGGAGGTTTGATGAGAAATATTGGGATGTGCTCTATCACGGGGGCAGAGTTATTGGGATTATTCCATGGTCTTAGTATGACTTGGGATATGAGATATCGTCAGATTGAGGCGAAAGTGGACAATGTGAACATCGTGGGTTTTGCGAATAATACAGAAGATTTAAGGGGTGTACACTCTGGTTTGGTTCTTGGTATAAGAGAATTACTTAGTCGAGACTGGGTGGTTAAGATTTCTCATATCTTTCGCGAGGCAACTTCGTGGCTGACTTCTTGGCATCTGTGGCGGCATCGGCTCATTTCGGTCTCCATCTTCTTTCTGTTTCACCGTCCCGTGTTATCCCACGGCTAGAGCACGATGATATTGTGTCTCTTATCCTCAGACGTTTATTCCTAAGTCTCTCTTTT